ACAGCCGAACAACAGCAGTGTCTAAGGCCAACACTCGCCCACACACCACACACAACCCACTCACACTCACACCCGTGCCTGCCAAGGACCCTGCTATTACCTATCAGAGGTATGAAGCTGTCTATCACCGCTGGTTGGCAGCAAGTGCGCCGCAGGCTTTTGTGGGGCTCGAACCCACAACCTTTTGAATGCCACTTGTCTGCCAAACCAATTGGTCTAGAGAAGAATGTAGCTTGCTTTTTTTTTTGAAATGAAAAAAGGAGAGGGTTTTGTTTTACTGGAGTCCACGGCTGTACTGTTGTCACAGGAGAGAGGCTCAACCTGAGGATTAGGAATCATGGGTGAAAAGTCTTCGCAACATGAAACATGAAACATTCCACCGTGACTAGCTGCACTGCTCGCCATCCGCCAAGGTTTTGGGCCTCGCTCCTCTACTCGACACTCTATATGAATTTGGACGCCTTGATGGACCAGGTGCGTTTTGAGGAGTCCAAAATTTGGAATGCATCGGGACTGTTATGAGCTCCAGATGCATATAGAGTGCTCTGCAGTGGAGAGAGGCCCTTTGAATGGCTGTGGGCAGAGACTTGCCAATGCATCGGATGGAGAGTGGCGGGTTTGAGGCCGGCTGGCACCTGAGGTACACTGAGCTCGAGGTATGCAGGGCCTCACTACTCCACTACTCTCAACATGCAGAAAAGACAAAAAATATGGCGTTGTACCATTCCATTTCTAGCGGAGGATTCCGTCTCGTTTTGCACTTTTTTTTTTTTTTGAAGTTTTGCACATTTTTCGAGAGTAGTGGAGCGAGAGGCCCATGGAGGCCCTCGCTCCACAATCTCCAACTGCGCAAAATGAGAGTGAATGTTCCCCTAGAACATGGAACGATACACTCCCATGAGTTTTGTCGTTTGCTCATGTGGAGAGCAAGTGGAGAGCTGCCCAGAGCCTCGCCACGTCGCTCACGGAACATGGAAAATGCCGAGTGCATCCTCACATAAGACGGTGCAATGTGGAAATAGCGAGTGCAACCTCGTGCAAGACGGTGCAAGCATGCATCCGACGCTAAAAATAGCAGCACATCTAAATTACCACGTTCTTTTTTTTTTTGGACGTTCTTTGTTCGTCTGCAAACTCCCCATTTTCTCGTTCTTTCTGTTCTTCTTTCTTTTTGGTTCGGGTTTTTTTTTTTTTTTTTTTGGATTGGTTTTTTTTTTTTTTTTTTTTTTTCTTTTTTTTTTTTTTTTTTTTTTTTTTTTTAGTTCATATCTTGATTGAAGCGTGTCATCCTTGTGCAGCTGCCTTCAACAGAAGCCTCAAACGATCTCTCTCTCTTTCTGTCTCTCTCTCTCTCTCTCTCCTGTTACTATTATTTTAAATTTTTTTTATAGTCCATATCTCGATTGAAGCGTGTCATCCTTGTGCAGCGGCCTTCAACAGAAGCCTCAAAGGATCCTTCTCTCTTTCTCTCTCTCTCTCTCTTTACGTTGAAAAATGTTGAAGAGGAGCTGACGCTTGGTCTGTTTGTGGATTGTGTGTGCGCAGCTGAAGCTTTCGATGACGCTGGCGAAGCAGATCTACCAGTTGCTTGTGAGGCACTTCACTGATGAAGGTCCTCAGGACAAGGACCCAGCAAGGAGTCGAGGCACTGGCTATGCAACTATTGCGAGACTCGGTTCGTGGGCAAYWAGTTGGTCTTGAAGAAGCACTTTATGAAAAAGTGCAGCATTGATCTTGTCACTCGGGCATTGACAGCGGAGGAAAGGGTGATGAGAGTCGAGGGCATCCGGNTTTTTTTTTAACAAGGGCAACCTTCCCGTTTTGTGTTTGAGTTTGGGACGTGTTTGCCTTCGGCATCAGGCCCGTAGTAAAACCCCTGCGGGGAAAAGGACGAACGGCGTCACCAGCCTGCATTTACCGCGGCACAGGCTCCCAGGCGATCATCGGCGGCATTTCGGTGAAAATAGCGAGAGCGGTGGAGAATCTGTTGGGCCGGGGTGGGGCATTCGTTACTCGCGCCCCGGTTTCGGCCACCCTCAGGCTGTTCCCAGAGCCTACCCCCGCCCCCCCCCCCACCCAAAACCCCCCCTGCACCGGAGCTGGGTAATTGTCCCAGTAACTTCTTCTTGGGTTGAGCTGGGTAATGGTCCCAGTAAGTTTTCAACAACTTAGTGGGACAGCGTTCTTCACCGCCCGAGATAGTTTTCTCTGGCAAGTTCTTCCCGCGGGTTAAGATGCATTTTCAAAAAAGAAAAAGGGGGCAGTGTTTTTTTTTTTGTTTGTTTGTTCTTTTTGGGACAGTGTTCGCCACCGCACGAGACTGTTTTTTTTTTTTTTTTTTTTTCCGAGACAGTATTTTCAGAGGGGAAAAAAGTGTTTTCAAAGAAATGAAAAAAAAAAAAATAATAAAATCTGTCGGCCTGGATTCCAGACCGCTTCGCAGTCTTCATCGCGCGGTGAAACTGTTACACACACAGACCGCTTTGCCCGCGGAGCGTTCATCGCGCGGTGAAACTGTTAAATCAGCGAGCTCTTTCGGCTCCTCCGTAGTTACCACGATCTGCTTCAAGTTACCGTGAGCCATTCTATGCCAGTCCATGCAGCTTCCTTCGTTGTTACTCAGATCTGCGGCACGTACGTCTTACCTGGGAGTATCCCGTCCCTCCCACCTGTCGGGAGAGAAGGCGGTAGCAGTCGAACGGTCGAGGCTGAAGGTGAAATCAACCGGAGGAGGGAGGCTGGTAAATGGCGGTGCCGCGGTGGTGAAAGGAAGGCACAGCATGAGTAAGTTGGGGGCGACGTCTCAGTACACTGGGTGTGTTGTTGCGATCAGATCGCCTTCCTCAGCTCGCAACACAGCCAAGTCCAGAATCTTACGCTCGTTCTGATTGTCACTGATTTACCGCGGTAACTTCAAGAGAGCAACCGTCTGTTTCGGTTTGATTGGATGTCCATTGTCCAGTAAAAGAGGGAAACTGTTGTGGGAAGAAGGGGGCGGGGAAGAGAGGATGGTTGACGAGGCACTGCGGCAGTGATATGGTGATGTGACATTGTGACGGGATCGTCACATCGGTTTTCTTCTCGTTTATGTCTCAGGGGCTGTGTTCGCTTCAGTTGTTGAAGTGTTCGGCCGAGTCAGACCGGATTGACTGCCGGCAAGCAGTATTACCAGCACTCTAGCTCGTGTTCGTTTTGTCACTTTTCGTTTTGGAGTATATGTCGAGAAACGAGTGGTGGTTTTGTCCGTGTACGTGTGGGGCAGTCAAACCAAAGACAGCTATCGCTGTGTTACGGTGCTGTGCTGCTGTGAAGCACACTTTCACCGTGGTAATTAGATTTTCTTTTGCATAACCATAACCAGTGGTGGAATCGTCGATCTACAGGTGGGAAATTCGAACCGAAGACAGCTTCATCGCTGTTCTACGGTATTCTGCTGCGGTAACTGATGTGCTGTGCAGCACAGGTTCACCGCGGTAAGTAGAGTTTCTTTTACATAAGGAGTGCTGGATTGATCTGTCTACAGGCGGGGAAGTGAAACCGAAGACAGCTTCATCGCTATTCTACGCCGAATCTACGGTATTCTGCTGCGCAGCACAGTTTCACCGCCGTAAGTGAAGATTCCTTCTCCATAAGCGGTGGTGGATTAGTATGTCTACAGGTGGGCCTGGTGGGCCAGTCAAACCAAAAGACAGGTTGATATGCTATATTACGGCGATGTCCTGCGCAGAATAGTTTAACCGCGGTAAGTGGAGTTCACCGCTGCAATAGAGAGTTTGTGAGGTGCTTTTTGTCTGTCCAGCACAATTTCACCGCGGTAAGTGGAGTTCCCACCTGCTTCGAGTGGAGTTCCCACCTGCTTCGAGTGGAGTTCCCACCTGCTTCGAAGAGTTTCTGAGAATCTGAGTTGCTGTAGCTCCGCGCGGACGGGCGGTTTTCAGACTCAAGGAAGCCATGATGTTGATTGAACTTGACGCGCGTGATTAGTATGTCCATAGAAAGGGCATGGATGTTTCATGCGGTAAATGGATTTCTTCTACCTGTTTCGGTGACAATGGCATGAGGCTCAGCTTCTCTCGCCACGGACTGGCAGGTCTCCTTGTCGTTCAGCACGGGTGACCTGAAGCGGTATCTGTGTTTTTTACCGTGGTACATCGCCAAAAGAGAGAAGGTGATTCACTGTCGATGGTGACAGCCATAGCCGTGGCCGGACTAAGAAGCCGGATCTGAGCCGGGTTGATGTTCAGGGGTCTCTCATTTACACACCACTGCTGGTTACGAGCGATTGCACAGTCCGCGAGAATTCGTACAGCCTGCAGCCGTCGTCGATTGTGGATAAACGAGCTAGACATCGACGGCCTGACACAGTATCATTGCTGCATCAGGAGAGTTTCCTGCTGCGATTCCAGATCGGCCAGATTCGGCCTGCCTCCTTCCACCTCATCTTCTCATTCGTCGCGTGCTGAACGAACGAACGAGAGAGAGAGAGAGAGAGAGAGAGAGAGAGAGAGAGAAGTCCCGTCGGGTGTGGAGCATTGATTAGTTGGCGAGAAAGGAAAAGGTTAAGAGGTTTTTGGAAAGGAAAATCATTAGTACGATAAGAACCTTCCTGAGGGAGGGCCTAAAAAAAGTCGAGTTTCCTGTCGGGGCAAGTTGGCTTCGTGTCGTGGGGGGGAGTGACTTCGAGGTCTGCCATTGTTAGGTGTGCTCATTATTGTGCCTGTCCGAGTCGGTGTTGATGTAATGATCGATCTATTTTTGTAATGAAATTGTGAACTCTTGTAGCGACACAGCTCGGCCACTGCGGTGTGTTTTGGAGAAGCGTCAGGACACCCGCATCTGTATCCGCTGCAAAAACACGGGCAAGGGGGCTTCCTAAGTTCCACAGCGAGGGGTCCAAGGGGAGGGTTTCGAACCTGGCTACCTCCACGCCTGGAGCAGCACTGCAGCAGGACCCGTCAGGGAACACGAACCAGACCGGCGAGGTCCCGCTTCGTCGGCTATCGTTGTCAATCCCCTGGTTCCTGGACTGTTGGAGCTTGGAACTAATAAGTTGGGACAAATTGGGACCATCCCCCGGTTCCAGGACTGTTGGAGCTTGGAACTAAGTTGGGACAACTTGGGACCATGACTTGCGCAGTGCTGCCTCGGTTCCTGCACTCCTACTTCTATGGTCTGTTATGGGAAAGTGCTCAGGTCTGGAAAATGAAGCATTTGCCGCTGTGGGACCGGTTTTGCTTCGTGTTCTTGAAGATCGTAGCGGTCACGGGCTTCTTCGTCGGCCGAGCCGTCCCGCGGATGCCCCGCCGTCGATCTCACGTCAGTTCTGATGTGGCACTCTCTGGTTCCGACAGATCGGGCAGTCGTTGCAACTGGGAGTCTTCTGCCGTTGATGTGTTGATCGAGTGCCCGCCTCAAGAATGCAGCACTCACTGCCGGTCAGTGCACGCCGGCCATGAAGAATACGGTCACCGTGATGCTGCCTCAACCCTGGCGCTGCCGGTCAGCAAGGCGAACCACCAGTCTGCGATCGGGAACCCGTTTCCGCCAGCGGTTTTAGCAACTGCAGCAAGCGCGGCAGGAGCAGTGGCTCGCACACGCCCAGCAGCGGCAGCGGAACAGGTTTCAAGTGCCAAGGCCCACCTGTGCCAGGCTCAGGCCATGGACCGGAATGTGGACCTGGTCCAGAAGGGACTCTCACTGGCCAGGTTCGATGAAGATGTGGACCGGAATGTGGCCAGGTTCGATGAAGACGTGCATGCAGCCCATCATCCCCGTGACACTAAGGACTTCAGCGGAGATGTTCTGGGAGACGACCCTATCGCAGTGGTGGTTTGCCCGGTGTACGCGTCGAAGCCGTCGGATTCCTCCATGATCTGGCGGCTGATTGCCAGCGTGCTGAAGCAGGACCACTCACCGCAGCACGTCGTGCTTGTGGACGACCGGTCGCCATATCCCTGGTACGAGGACCAACTGCCAACCCACGCGAGATCGTGGCGTTGGATGGGCCGTCTTCCCTATCAGCAGCAGCAGCAGAGGCTCGGACGAAGTGCCGGCGGGAGAACGGACCTGCTGACCACCCACGCGCCGAGCCGTATGCCTCCATCGCAGCTGCACAATGGTGAGTCACGGCCAAGGCTGCCTGCCGCGGGAGGGCTTTGTGTGAACGCCGGTGTGCAGGTTAAGGGAGAGGGAGGCGTGGTAGGGCACGCCGCGGGGAAGGGGGGGGAAGCTGGCGGTGTCTCTTACTCTTGGTGCGGAGAACTGCTGCCGGGCGTCAGTTTGGTTAAGCTGGCGCGGAACTGCGGGCCGGCGACTGCCCGCAACTGCGGTCTGAACCTGGCCACGACTCACCTGGCCGCTCAGATCGTTTGCTTCATCGACTCCGACTGTGTAGCACACGAGAGTTGGGTCAGCGCCATGGTTAAAGGACATAGAATGGAGGAGGAACGGCGGGCCTTCAGCAAAACGAGCTACCATTACGGCATTCTGTCCGGCAACACGAAGGCTCTGGGGTCGGGAAAGATCGACCACTGGCATAACCAGTTCGGCACGCTCAACGGTCGCATACGGCTAGACGGGCGAGGCTTGCTCTACGCTCCCACCTGCAACTTCTCCCTGCGCGTCTCTCGTCAGTTGCTTTGCGAGGTCAAAGGCTTTGACGAGCGCTTCCCTGATGCCGCCTTCGAAGACGTCGATTACTGCCTTCGAGCAGAGCAACATGGAATCCGGACCGTCTATGTACCGGATGCCATCGTCTTCCACGATTTCCACCAAACTCCTCTTGGTTTGTACAGGATGTTCCGCAGGTATGGGGCTTCTGAATGGGCCGTCATTCGAAAGCACCCTGACTACTGCTCCCTCTTTTCTGCCTCACTGCACATCTCCTCCTGTTACTGAACAACACCTCTGTTGTCTTCGGACTCTTGGACTCCACATCACTCCTGACCCGTCTGTCTCCCACCTGTTCGTGATCTATCATCTCTGCGAGCGGGAGTGCATATCAGTGATATCACCACCACCACCACCACCAACCCAACAAACACAAGGACACCACCACCACCACCCCCACAAACACAAGGACCGGACCGTGTGGCCAAGCGGGTATGGTATGCGCACAGCCTTTTCTGCGCAGCCTTGCTGTCTGTGACTCTGTGGGGCGTCCAAGCCTCTCATCAGAGTCTTGGCTTATTCTCCCTAGCCGCGGACATTCTATCTATGTGTTTATAGCAATAAGATCAGACGACATTGACAGCCGCGGCTTATCCCTAGCGTAATGAGCAGCCAAGGAGGGTAATACGATGGAATGTCGCCTGGAGACAGCGCGTGCGTTCGATGTCGCAGCGCCCCATGATTCCCATTGAGTGCAGACGTGAAAAAGGAAACAGAGGCGTCGGCCAGGAAAGGATGAAAGAAAGGATCTGGATCGCGGTCTCTCCAGTGTCGTTCATAACGTTCGAGCACTCGAACAGTTCTTCTGATTCATCTGAACTCCTTGATCTTCGTCCCCCAGAACGGTTCTCCGCTCCTCTCCTCACATCCCTCCTGATCCAGCAGACAGATCGGATTCCGGTGAGGGCACTAAATTGTTTTGAGTGCCCCAGAGACTGCCGAACGGCGTCTTCTTTGCCCGGCCTCCTAACTCCCGTCTCTGGATGGACGGTCTTTTCTGAAGTTTTCTCCCCTCCCTGACCCCGGACTCATAGCTCAGGGATGAAAGACGAAGAATTAGAAATCCGACAATCTCCGATGTATCTTCCGAAGTTCTTCATATTAATTCATAATACATCCTGTTAATACGATGAAAATTCATAATACACCCGCAGGCTGTTAATACGGTGAACGAACAGTAGTTAGGCTATCTTTCAGGACCTTTTCTGGGCACCGTTTTCACCACGGATGTCCTGCTTCTACTTCTGCTTCTGCTCCTGCTCCTGCTCCTTCTTTGCCCCGGCGGCAATGTCTATAAGGTTAGCGACGTGGCCGGAGAGCAAGCAGCCTGAAGCAGGAGGTGGCGCGGGCCCTTGAGTGCACTGTTCCGTGTCTCCCTTGCAGAATAGCTGTCCATTATTTGTTTGTTTGTCTTTTTTTTTTTTCCCTCCCCCTCCCAACCGATCGGGTGCAATCTGAATCTCGATCATTTCCTCACAGTCACTGTCTCACGCTCCGCAATTGTGTGTCATTTTCGGCAGTCTAACTGGGAGTCTAGTGTCTCTCTTGCTCCTCTAGGTGTACAGCTGGGAGCGAGCACTTTTCTCCCCCTGTTCATATACTGTGGCCACACACGCCCACACTAATAAATATGAAAGCAAGCTGCTGCTGCTGTTCATACGGCACCTGATAGCGCTTAGGTACCGCCGCCTCGCACCCTCTACGCAGTAGTATCAAGCCGCCACTTCTGGTAGCACTTCAGTTCCAATGGTTGCAAGCCACAGCTCGCAGTCATTAAATGTTAAATGTAATGCCAGTTTCGTCTCACTTCACCGGTACTTCGTTCAAGTGAAAGAGGCCGAGCCGTTCTCCTGCCCAAACTATCTTACCCCCATTCCTTATGTAGCTACCGTAGCTATAACGTTTCACCTTAATAACCTCTTCTGTGAGGACTCCTCGGCACTCTCACTCACCAACCTTCTCGTCTCTCCAAAGTTGCTACCGACAGTTGTGCCTCGGTTTTCTGCCTCACGGTGGTGCGGTTGGTTTGAACGTCGAGCTGTGCTGTCGTCTTGTGCCGCGCGTGATTCACTGCTGCCGGCTTTGCGTTGCCTTGGCAGTGTTGGCACCCTTGCATGCCGCTTGGTTCTATACCGGGCTCTCGTTCATTATTTCTATCGATCTGATCCGAGCGGTATTCCAGCTCCTGATCTATTCATAATTTCATAAATGCTTACATGTGTGTACCATTCAGCCACATGGGCTGGGTTCGACTCTCGTTCATGAATGTAGTCTCTGTGTACAGGTTCATGAATCATGAATGTAGTCTCTCTGTACAGGTTCTTTCTGCGATCCTGGTCATAGCCCTAGCTGGTGTTTCACTGGCCGAGTCCCGGCGGACGATTGTCAGTCGTAGTGCCGGCATGGTGTCTGTCCGCATGCCGGAAAAACGTGCTAGTACTTGTTCTCAGTGCACAGCTTGTATTCGGGCCGTGGCCGAGTGGCAGTAGCATCATCTCGCACAGCTGGCGATTGTCGAAGCTGCCAGGTGCTGCCGAGGACTACGAGACTGTTCCCGTCTCGTCGGCCGGCGTCGGGCCGGAATCTCCGTAAGTAAAAAAAAAAAAAAAAACACTCTATATGGGGGATGAATCTTTCCAGTTCCTGTGTGAATATGCACACGGCACACGAAACGAATAAAAACGAGTGCATCTGCCCACAAGAGGTCGCAATAGTTACTGCTGGTAATAACCGGGGGGGATGAATCTTTCCAGTTCCTGTGGGAAGATGCACTCGTCCTTGTTTGTTTCGTGCGCCTTTTGGCGTTGGCCCACAGCTTCCTTAGAACGCAGGAGGAGGTGAGGAAGTAATTGCCACTTGTCGTGCCCGAATTCCTGAGATTGCAAACGTGATTTTGTGTGCATACTGCAACCATGCAGGAGTTGGGGCGGAGTGGATTAAGCACCTGGTCACGGTTGTAGTGGTTAAGGCATCTCTGCCTGGTTAGCTCGAGATTGCCGGTTCGATTCCTTGCAGAAGTTGCAGGGTCTTTCCAGCGGTGTGGTTACATAGGTATATCACTTCCTTAAGTTCCTTTATAACCCGGTCACACTTCCTTAAGTTCCTTTATAAGCGAACTTTATAAGCGAAACTTATAAAGGAACTTAAGGAAGTGTGACCCGGTTATAAAGGAACTTAAGGAAGTGATATACCTATGTAACCACACTGAGGCTGCCAGGATAACTCCGGGTAGAATTGTGAGGTCCCCAGCCTCGATTCCAATTATATTTTGGCAACATATGACAAGCTTATAACCAGGTCACGGTTGGCTGTTTTTAGCCCGAGATAGCCGGTTCGATTCCTTGCACAGTGTACAGTTGTCACACAACCCCCAAGCTTGGACTCCACGTAAACTCAGACTGCGTGGCACCTTGTCGCGCGTTAATGGCTGGGTCAACAGTTTTTGTTGAGCACAAACCAGTGAATCCTGTCTCCTTCCTCTCCTAGTTCCGAAGTTCCCACAGGTTGATCGTTGTGTACAAAGGGAACACTCTGACAGTTCATTGCGAGTGTTGAAGTTTTTCTCCACGGGCCTGTATTTCGATCGAGCTTTGGATGTACCTTTTCTTCTCGCCCTTTCGCCGCCATGCCTCCTGGCAGTCAAAGATCGAAAGATGATGTTGCAAGGTTACATTGAGGACAGGGTACCGTTCTCAGAGGCATACGAATACTTCAGCCTTCCTAATTGAATAATACATTCTGTGTGTGTGTGTGTGTGTGTGTGTGTGTGTGTGTGTGTGTGTGTGTGTGTGTGTGCGCGCGCGCGCGCGCG